TCTGACTTATCCAGGTAGTTCGTTAGGAGCACATAGGCAGTGCAGCAAATTGATTGAGGAGAAAGCCAAGCTAGTGACTGAAGAAGTTTGTAAGATCGGGCATAGCTCTTGTAATATGGACAGAGATCTTTAGAAACAGTGGTAAATGTCAGCTGATTCTTGGTTCCGGATACTGTTGGCAAGTCATCTCAAATTAAGTTTTCATTTATTTTATTTTTGGGGGGCAAATGGAGGGGTGCCAATCAAGGTACTTGATCTAGAACTAAGGAATTGATGATGATGGTTTGGAAGCCCTCGGCACTCTGTTGTGAAGTTGGGACCTTTTCAATTTGTGGTGTGAGACAGGTAGCTTCTTTCTGCAGAAAACCAAACTTCCCATTTAAATTGAAAGAAAAGAGAGAGACCTACCACGGTTCGTTGCCATAGCGACGGCTTTATGAAATGCTTTTGGGAGAATGTCAGAACGCCTTCACAAAACCCACTTGTTGATCTGAAGCATGAAATATTACTGGCTCTTGAGATGGAACCGGGTTGGCCGCTGATGGAAGCCAACATGAAATCTTGCGGTGTGAGGTTCAAGCCTTCCTCGAACCAGTGAGATGAATTTAAATAGCTGTGGCACTGCAGCACAGTCCGAAAAAGAAAAAGAAAAAAGCTGAGGTGGTGTGTTTTGTGTTTATGTCTTTGCCTCCTTGGGTTTATGCCTCGTTCTCCCTCTACCTGTTTTTGTCTTTGCAATAACTGTGAGGTAGGGTAGCCTGAGAGATCATGAGGAACCCTGCATCGCTCCCCAAAAAGGATCATGACTAGTGGAGAGTTGAACCAGGACGCTTGAAGAGTCACAGAATGTTGGAAGAATTGTGTCAATGTCTCTTGATGAGGTCCTTCCCATCGCCATTCTTGGGTGCTTGGCCATGATTCCTCAACGGGGTTAGAAACAGTCCATGTACAGCTATGGGGTTTTCTTTATAGCTTAGCCTCCCCTCCATCTCGTGCCCTACAGATGCCGTGGGCTCCGATTTCATTTTGCTCGCGGGCAGAGTTCTAGTCCAGCAGGTCTGGAGGGCATCAGATTGGTGGATGCCGTGGCAGAGGAGGAAGACCTGGTTGGGAGCCCTCCATGAACCATGACCTACCTCCCAGAGGACCTTTCCGGTGAAGAAGAATTAGCTGGTTGTCTTCCCAGTTTGAAATTCAGAAATGCAGTCATGGCACCTCCCCTATGAGAGGGATAATGGTCTGTAAATAGAACTAATAGACAATTTTACGCAGTTAAAAAAAAAAGCGGGGGGAACCCTCTTTTAATGTCTCTTTCCACAGCCTACATGAGGAGTACATCTCACTTAAGAAGGCCTTTGGGATTTGTCAGAAGGCATCACCGTAGTGTGTTCTTTTCCTCGTTTCTTGCCCTGGAAAAACAGGGCTGATTTAACACCTCTGGGCCGATGAGACTATAAAGTGGGGGAGTTAACCCTCCCCTCCGCCAGCAGTGTTCTGCGTAATAGTAGAATTGTTAACCTTTGCTCATCTTTAAGGCAGAGAGGGTTTCTAAACTTCTTAGCATCCTGCCCCGCTTTTCTGGTTTTGAGAAGCCCTTACCCTTTCCCACCTCTCCTCCGAGCCCTTTCCAGCAAAATAAAATAAAATAAAAATAAAACAAAAAAAAAAACCCAACAAAAATATTTAAACTGAAATGCAGATCTTTTTGTTTCCAATAGCAATTTAGTTCGGCTTTTGAAATAGCAGAAACAAAACCCTAACGAGGATGATGATGGTGGTCTTGTCATTCTCAATGCCACAGCTTCTTCCTCTCTCACAATCTTCCACCTCTCTCTTTTTGAGTGAAGGAATGCAGGTTAAATGCATAAGGCATAAGCTCCAAACCAGATGATGCCCTGCAAAACAGCTGGTAATATGTTTTGCCATTTAAAAAAAAATTTAAAAGCAACACTGGAAGCTACCCTGGGAAGTCAGTTTCCCTATCTTGCCATTTATTTCCCCACTTAAAACTTTGGGGGAAAGCTCAGAGAAACCCATATCTGCCTCCACCATGGTGGGTGATGGATCGAGATAAACTGTTGAGTGACAGGAAAATGATGGGTTAAGCAGCTGGCAGACTCCTCTGAGCTAGCTTTCTTTCTTTCTTTCAAAAAGAAACCTGTATTATCCGGATTGCTGACCTTAAATCTTTGTGTTCTTCAGTGCCGTATCTCCTCTGAAAATAGAGAGCTTAATGGAAATATGGAATAGAAAAGGAAAAAAAAGTCAGTAAAGGAGAACGGAGCGTGTCTGCAAAGATTATCCATTAAGGATTGGGACTTTATCCCTGCAAGAAGGCCAGTGCTTGAATTTGAGGGGGCACTTAGAAAATAATCACAAGCATTTGCATCGTAAAAAATGCAGAATAAATAGTGATCTGATGTCGTAAACGATGCATAGAAGCGGTGGGATGAAATAGGGATGTATCTGGCTAGCTCGGAATACCTAATTGGATTCATGTTCCCGTCTTTGATGAAATGTAATAACAGGGCAGGAATTTTGGCAAAATTTTGGTCCGAGCCCTGAGTCTTTGGTCCAAGTCCCAAGTCAGAGTCCCTATTAAAAACAAGCCTTTTCCCCCAGAAAAAAAAAGATTCCGAATTGCGAATCGCCTCTTAGTCATTGAAATAAACAAACAAACAACTCCAAGTTGAGTCATCGGCGCAGCTGAACTTGACATCAAGTCTGGCGACTTGGCATCTCTTTTCCCTGCGACAGGGCGAAGGCGGTTGAGGTGGGAGAGACGGGCTTCAAGTCTGGAACTGCCCTGGCGTCTCTCGAGGCGAACTCCGAAGTTAGAGGAGGGCTTTATCTAGAAGCCTAATCCCTTTCAACCTGCCTTGGCTAAATATAACACGGGCTTTCGGCTTCACCCGAGATGATTCCTGGTTAACTGTCAGAGCTAAAAATAAAAATGCCAGCACACCGTCTATCTGGGTCTTTCGTTCAGGTCCTTCCACTTCCTACCTGTGAAGTTTTGGGGGCTTTTCACGGAGCAGATTGACTCTGCTTGCCTGGGGAGGGGCTGAGATTACCCAGACAGTGCCGAAAAGCGGTGCCAGAGGTAGGGGCGAAGATTCAAGAGACGTGGAAACTACGTGTATCCACACCTAGGGATCTCTGTCCTGAACCTGCTGGCTGTGTTTTTTTTAGGTCCAAATTCTCCTCCACTTATAATAGGAAGCTTTTGTTCAAGACTGTTTCTGGCACTTTCTTGTGTTCTTAAACGAGGCCCCGGAAAGGTAGGGCAGCGTCTTTCCTATGATTCATACATATAAATAAATAACATATAAGTGTGAGATGCCAGTGTGGGCCGTTTCTAGCTACTCGCAGTAGTTCTTCAAATGTACGCGCATTGTCCAATAAAGGATCCCCAGTAGCAAATAGTGTTCCGTTGCAGGAGTTGCGAAGGGGGTAAATTTGGGTTTAAGGATCTCAAGATATCCAGCAACACCCCAGATGCCTTGACTGGTCCCATTTCTCACCCGTCCCTACGTGGGAGTCATTGCCCAACACCATCTGGAGAAGACGAGGTGGGGCGAGGCTGGACCAGTGGCCCTGCTGGTTTTGTGGATCTGAAAGTCTTGCCAAGCTTCCGTCTCTCTAGATCTGGCAGTACAGAGCAAGCGAGCAGTCAAGATGTGGCCTCACGTGGGTCACCTGGGCCGGCCTTAGCGCAGGTGATTGTTCCGTTTCAAGAGCACGAGAGCCGTGTGAGTGATGCTCCTTTCCACGCTGCACTGCTGTTCCTTCCTGGCTTGCATGGGGAGAAGTCCTCACGATGACTGACGTTACCATTAATGACAATGACATGTCTAAACAATCGATTTGTAGGGAGATGGAGGGGGGGAGGAGGAAATAAACACCCCCCTTTACAATCCGATGTTGGCTTTCTCTGCTTTACCTCCTTGCCTTCGAGGGAGCCGTGTGAGTGATGCTCCATTTTCACTCTGCACTGCCGTTCCGTCCTGGCTTGCATGTGGAGAAGTCCTCACGATGAGTGACATTACCATTAATGACAAAAAGCTCCACACATGTCTAAACAATCAATCTGTAGGGAGATGAGGGGGGGGGGGGGGGAAATAAACACCCCCTTTACAATCCGATGTTGGCTTTCTCTGCTTTACCTCCTTGCCTTCATAACTGAAAAGGAGAGCGAGAGAAGAAAGCCTTGCCTCTTAATTGAAGCCCCATTTCCATTTGATGGTGGGAAAAGGTGTCTCTTCTAGTCTTGCTTTTACTTAAGAGTAGGGTTTCTTGTTCTGAACTGGTGCTCCAAACAGCATGACCAACATCCTCTTGCTGATCCCTACGGAGAGTAAACCCACCTCTGCCCAGTTGCTGGATGGCAAACCAGGGCTTAAATATGTCCCTTTGAATCAATGGAGGTCTTACTCTAGTTCAGTGGTGTCCAACCTTGGCCCTGGAGAGTTAACCCATCTCTGCCGAGTTGCTGGATGGCAAGCCAGGGCTTAAATACTGTATGTCCCTTTGAATCAATGGAGGTCTACTCTAGTTGGTTCTAGCAACAATAACAGTGGCCCCTATGTGGATGAGTAGGGAGTGGGGGCGGATTTCTGATATACAGATTTTGGACCTGCTAAAACAAAGGTGTGTGTGTGTGTGTGTGTGTGTGTGTGTGTGTGTGTGTGTGTGTGTGTATAAAACAGCTGCCTTTCCTGCCTGCCTCTTTCTTCTCTTCTGCCCTGCCTCCCACCAACCTTACCTGTTCGAGAACAGGAAGCATGGGTTAGATGGTTCCCTTGTCCCTTGGTGCCCCAGCATGGCTGTGATCTTCCGTTTCCTCCTCCTCTACCTTTCTAGACCCGCCTTGTAGGTGTGAACTCTTCAGCCCCTCTTTGGCTTGCTGTACCTTGTCAGACCTCCTCCCAGGACAGCTAAAGCTGGAGGCTCGCCACCTCTTCTGTAACCCTCTTTTCTCTCCTCCTATCCTTCTGCAGGACCAAGATGGGCCTCGTGGAATATTGGGGTGTTCATCTGCATCCGTTGTGCTGGGATCCACCGGAACCTGGGCGTCCACATCTCCCGAGTCAAATCGGTCAATCTGGACCAGTGGACGCAAGAACAGATACAGGTTGCTGATGGCGGGGGGGGGGTCTGCTTTGACGGTTCTGTGTTCTGCCTTTAGAAAAGGGGAGCTGCACAGCTGGCTTCTCATTTCCATTCTGTTGATACTAAGGAGGAAAATAGGAGGAAGTGTTTTCTCAAGCTACTGATAAGGAGATAAATCTGGAGCTTGAATGCTCCACCATACCATAGTTCCCCTCCAAACCTGTATCCTTGAAAAAAAGAGTCTAGCTTCTCATCCTCCCTGAGATGCTAGTTTTATATGTGCAGGGAGATGTGCCTGTAAGTGCACCCATCTGAACTGGTACCGTCCATATATAGATTTTGCACGTCATCTGCTGTTTCAACAAAGCTTCTTGCCTGCCCTTATTTTTATGGCTTTTACCCACCAGGGCTCAATGTAGGCCATTCTATATAAAAGTTCTCACTTTTCTGCCTTTAAAAACAAACGCTCCCCCACCTGCTGTCCTACAGACGGTCTCTTATGCGACACCTCCTTTCTTATGCTCTGTGTGGAGATTTGGCCTCAGTCCCGCTTAACTCAGCTGCACGGATGATCCCCCCGTGACTTTTCCATTAGCCCAGGGGTGGGCCAGCAGTGGTCCTGCTGGTATGGTTTGACTTCCGCTACCATGATCTCCGATCAGGGCTCATGGGATTTGTACCCAGGAGCATCTGGAGGGCCACAAATCTACCGTCCCCAATTTGGTGGGTGGAGGGTTTAATGAGTGTTCCATGACAGGAGCTCATAACATTTCTACAAAGAGAGGTCTTAGACTGTTATCTGATAAAGGTAATAGAAAATATAAGAATAAGGCAAGAACATGGTAGCAGGTTTTTGTGTGTGTGTGTTTAGTCTGTATTTTTATTTTGTTTTCACCTATAATGTTTGCATAAATTAACACGGCTACAACTACAATTCTCAAGAGTCAATAAGACTAATACACACATACTCAAAGTTTCCTTCTCACTTGTTATCACTCTATTCCAGATCTGTGATGGTGTGGTTGCAAACTGAACAGCAGATATTTCTTGTGTAAAAGTAGTAGACCAAGTAGGCCTGTGTGCTCTGTGTAAAGAATTTTTTTTAAAAAAATGGTCCTTGGACCCAAGCAAAGTGTGGAATCTGGAACCAGGCCATCGCCACGGCTGCGTCGCAAGGCTGCGAGGCGAAATGGAGAATGTGAACCCATTCCACGTAGCATTTTTTTTGCTGCTCCACTTGATTTTATTGAAGGCTGACCCGTTTAAGAGGACAGCAAAGGCAAAGGGAAGATAGCAGACCATCATGAGAGCAAAACAAAGGCTTTAGAGTAACAGGTGTAGGTTTGGGGATCCAAAAAGCGCCACCTTTATAATATGGCAGATTTATTGTAACACCCAGTATCCTCTTATGGAGAGGACATCAGCGGTGCAAACCCAGCCTTTTTCTCTCAGAAACTGAGGGTGCTCAGTAACTGCGAAGTCACCCTCACCAGCACTTTTCTGGAATCACTGTAGGAGGCTTTTGAGATGTGACTTTCTCATCATCGGCCTAGAACAGGCATTGTTTTGTTTTTTTGGGGCGGTCCTCCAAAAACGTGCAGGTTGTTCAGGTCAAAATGAAAGGATTGCCAGGAGAGCCTAAGCAGCTCTTCGTGGGGCAGCTATTGAAAGTTTCTTCCTTCTACTGTACGTGGCAGTGAAATTTCTAACATTGCCATGGGGATAGAAAGACCGGGGGGGGGGATGTCTTCCAAACCTACACTGTGTGTTTTTGTCTCTTGTGTTTCTGCTCCAGTGCATGCAGGAGATGGGGAACGGCAAAGCGAATCGCCTCTATGAAGCCTACCTTCCGGACTCTTTCAGGCGGCCGCAGACAGACCAGTATCCTTCCTCTGTCTCTCTTCCTCGAGAGAAGGCAGGGACCTGCCATGTTGATATCAAACCTGGGAGGTGGGGGGGGGAGGAGGACGGAAGGGCTGCAGAGAACCCATCTACTCCACGTAGGCCCTGAAAGAGGACTGAGTAGAGCACACTTAACTGGAGGAACTGCTTTTTCTCTGGATCGTTATGCGCCCCTCACTGTTCCTCAGCACCTTTTGGAAACTGAGGCCCTTTAAGGTTGAACGGGGAAAGGGGCGATGGCTAAAGGCAAAACTCAAAAGTTGTAAACCCAGACAGGTGGAGAAGGGCAGTGTCGTGTCTTCTCGTAAGTCAATGGAGACCTTCAGTGCAACATCAGTAAAACACAAGAGGGAGCTTCGTTTGCGCTGGTCGTCTCTCTCTCTTGGGTGTTAATGTGTCTGCACTTCGTTCGCACTGGTTGTCTCTCTCTCTCTTGGGTGTTAATGTGTCTGCACTGAAACCTCATGCCTGTTTCCACGGTCGTAGCTCCCACTGAGCTTCGTCGAGTCAACTTTTGAATCAAATGGGCCAGGGTCTGGCTTTTTTTGGTTGTTAACGGAGACTTGTGGCACCCTGGTTAAACTGCAGTCCTGCAGTCAAGACTCTGCTCAGGACCCAAGTTCAATCCTAATAGGTTGACTCAAACTTCCATCCTTTAAGTACTCAGCTCACTGGGTGTGTGGAGAGCGGGGCAATGTGTAGCCTGCATAATTAAATGAGTGGGGCAATGAGTAGCCTGCATAATTAAATTGTCAACTGCCCCGAGAGTGCTTAAAAGCGCCGTGGGGGTGGTCGATAAGCAGCACGCTTTGCTTTTAATGTTCGAATTTTTTGATGAAGGTCCATTTCCTAGCAGCCTTCCTCTCTCTGACTCAAGCCCTCACTTTTTCTTCTTCTAGCGCAGAATCTTTGCCCCGTAACATTCCGTAATATTTTATTTATATCCCACCTTTCTTCCTTCCGGGATTCCAGCCATTGATATTCTTCCCTTCACTGCAGCAACTGACCTAGTTCCTTTTCCGTTCCAGTCTCTGTCCCTTCTGCCACGTAGTTCCAAATTGTCTCTTTCCTCCACAATTTTAGGCTTTTTCAGAAGCACGATTCAAGGGCAGGGCTTTAGGACAGAGGCTGTGCGTAAGCGCCACGGAGGATTGGCTGCATCCGGTGGACCACTAAGGCAGAAAAGTGGGATTCAAATAAAATAAAATAAGCATAGGCCACTTCTCGCACAGGTTGTCTCATCAACCCTGGACAGTGCAGTGCGTCATGAGAGATTCTGGGACTCTCAGTCCAGCCACATCTGGAGGGCTGTTTTGTGTCCACCCCCCCAACTTCCCATAGCCTTGAGATATTCTGCCTGAGAAACCTTTCTAAGCTGCTGGCCTCCAGATACGTTGGTCTGCAGCTCTGATCAGCGCTGAACAGCCCCGTCCAGCATTATGGGCAGGCAGGATGTGCTCCAAAACATTTAAAAGGCCTGGGGTGTGGGAAAGTGCTGTAGAGCTGGTCCACCTTTTATAGTCCCTCGTCACTGCCTGCTGGATGGGTTCGTAGGCTGGAAGGAAAAACGATGGAAAGGTGTGGGAGTGGAGCCGAGAATCTGGCCCCGTAGCATACTGCAGAATGATGCTGTTGCTGAACTGGCCTGGTTAGTGCTGCAGAAGGATCTTGGTCGAAGATCTTCGCTTGTCTTGTTTATCCAGATGTAACAATGGGGGGAAACCAGAGTCAGATTCTATCATGATCTGATTATCTCTTAGGCTAGAATTGGCTACATGCATCCTGGCAATGCTGTGCAGGAGATTCCTTCCCCTGGTTGGTTCCTCCTTAACCGGCGTCCCGCACAGAGCAGTGGAAGGCTTTATCAGGGACAAATACGAGAGGAAAAAGTACATAGACAGAAGCCTCGACATCAACGCGTTACGGGTGGGTGTTAAAATGGATGAGAACATTTCTTTGCTTTTTGTCCAGTGTCTGGTATCCCCTCTTGCCCAGCCATTCTAATTAGCGGCGAGACAGCTTTTCCACCTCATGGCACCTTCCATGGACAATAGGTCCCATCATCCTCAGACAGCTGGCTAAGGATGGTAAAGGCTGTAGACCCTACACACTGGGAGGGGCCCGGCTGGTCCACCAGTGTGCCTGCAACTGCAGGCAGAAAAGTGTCTGCCCCGGCAGAGGTGGCAGGATTTGAATTCCGGCCTCCTGGTATGGTGCCTCCCCTTCCATATTGTCATACAGTCGTTTGGATGAGCTCTGCCGTGCAAACAGAAACGCTCCAAATAGTTAATGACCTTCTAATTTTGGGCATGGGAGTCTTCTCCTATGAGGCTATCTTTCTGTGGCAGAAAGTCCCAAGGGTTTCCTCTCCCATATCCACTCTCTAAAAACCATGCCCGCACCCACATTTCAGCTGAAATGGTCTCTTTGCCCAGGCTAGTCTTGGCAACAACTCCACTTTCAGGCTGTAATCTGAGCCTTTTGCCTTTCTTCCGTAGCGGGGGTAGTAGCTGCTCCACACCTGCATTTTCTGCCAGTTGAAAGCAGATAAAGGGAATAGACACCGACCCCATCTCCTAGTTCTGCCTGACACCAGGCGGAGAACCAGGTCCCTCATCTGTAGGGGGGAGTGTCTTGCGCACACAAGACCGCTGGGGGGGGGCATCCCTGGGAACGTCTGCTAAGGACTATTTTCCACCTGGGCAGAGGAAAGAATTCCCTTCCGCAGGGTGTCTCCTCTCACCGCTTAATTTGATTATGTGCACAGAGAGAAAAGGATAACAAATGGAGGAAGGAGGCGGCCTCCGAAAAAAAACTGGAACCCGTTATCTTCGAGAAGGTGAAAATGGTAAGGTGACGCTTCCTGCTGTTTGTGCTTTTCTTCTGGGCCCCCCGGTGGGTGGGTGGGGGTGGTCAGGGAAAAGCCGTGGGAGGGTTACACAAGGGGTGTGTGTATCCCATAGCATTATAGGTACACCCCTGTAGATGATTGGTTTTGGCTTTCGTTGAGTTGGGAATTGGGCTGGATCCTGGTTTGCGTCCCCAAGGGGATGTATTCATTCAGTGGATTTGCCTCCCATTTGCCTCTCCAACATTGTCTGTTTCCAAAATGTAGAAGGTGTATGAAAAAGCAGAAGGCTTTATGAGGAGCTGTCGAACCTGGAACAGGACGCTGTATAGAAACTCAAAGTGAAATAAGGCAACAAGCTGTAGCAGAAACAGGCCCCCCCTTCGGCCACCCAGTTCGGCCCCTTTCGTGGACGTCTTTGTTTGGCCAGTTCTGCAGAATGGCATTGAATGCCATTCCGTGGAGCCAGCGACGTTGATCACGTTGGCAAAACCCCTGCCTCACCAGGGTTGAGTGAAAGGAACGTCCCCAAAGACAGTTTTGTTCCTGGAAGGAAAAAGCCCTGCTGGTGTATGTCTTAAGCACCAGCCTCTCCCCTGCTGTGTTTGTCCTTGCAAAGGCACTGTGGCTAGCCTGCAGAAGTAATTACAAATGCATTCACACGCCCCTAAGTCTCCATGGAAGGAATCCTAGTAGTGACCTTCTGTTATTTGTAGTTTTTAAACTGGGAGAGAGAAGGGTCCCAAAGATCTTTGATCTCCCGGTACGAAGAGAGGGGGCCCTAAAATGTGTTCCAGTCTTTGTTCTTCTTCTCTTTTGTCTAAACAGAGAAGGAAAATGTTTCTCGGGTGTAAGGATTTGGGGGAAAGGCACTTCCTGCGGACGGATGATGCCTTTGGGCGGCCGTGGGGCATCCATGTGAAGATTCTCATCTTTTCTCCCTTTCAGCCTCAGAAAAAGGATGACCCTCAACAGAGGAAAAGCCCTTCCCGTTCTTCTGAACCTGTCATGGACCTGCTGGGACTTGGTAAGAGTCTTGCCTGGGGGTGGGGGTGGGTCCTCACTGTTTTGCTGGCCCTTGTTCTCTGCCGAAGACGTCACTTGGTTGGTTGCTGTAAAAATCAGTCCTAAGAAGGAGGGCCCCTTCTTTGCATGGCTTGGAAGGGAACTTATAGAACCGTGTGGCTCCTTTTCTGAGTTGATGGCTTTCAAACTAGGATCCCTTGAATCCAGACCTGGGAACAGGGAGGGAAGTAAGCAAGCTTCCCAGAAAGAGGCTGATATTAATGTGCGCCATCTCCACTGCGAGACGAGGCTTGATAGCGTGCTTCTCTGCTTGCGTAGGGGGAAACAGTGAGGACCAAGAAGGGTTCTTGTATGTTCTCCCCACTCCGTTCTTCACCATACTCAGAAGATGTATATCAGATGTTTGGGGACCCTTGGTTAGGCCGGGGAACACTGAGGACCAAGAAGGGTTCTTGTGTGTTCTCCCCACTCCATTTTTCACCATACTCAGAAGATGTGTATCAGATGTTTGGGGACCCTTGGTTAGGCAGGTCCCCTTGTGATTCCCCAAATGTTAATGGGCTCGAAACCCAGTGTCCTGGAATTCAGATGCTATGGAGTCATGGAGTCCGAAGGGGCCTCTACAGCCATTGAGCCCAACCCCGTGCTTGAGGCAGGAATCCAGATCAAAGCACATCCGACGGAGGGCGGTCTAATTTGCTATTTGAATGGCTTCATAGCTCTGGAGCACTCACCACCTCCCGAGATCATGGGCTCCCTTGTCGTACTTCTGTAACAGTTAAGAAGTTTTGTTCTCTGCTCTAAGCTTAGCTGGGGAGACGGGTGGGCCTGGCAAACCAGGATGTCCTCTTTCATTTATCTTCTCCTTGCACACAAAGATGACTCCTGGCCCCTCAAGAGGGCAAGAAGCTGGAGAAGCCCTGGACGAGAGAAGAGAACGAAATGGGGGTTTGCACGACTTAGAACAGGGCTAATCATGCTCAACACAAAGTAACACTTTAATGCTAGTTGCACAAATTGTGTGCCCTGGCGGCAGCCGCTGCTGTTCTGCATGGCTTTCTAAAGATTAGAAGCATCAGAAAGATGGGTTACCTTTGGGAAAAAAAAATAAACCAGCCAGTACTTTTCTACTGTGTTTTTGTGTTTGGTTTGCTTCTCAGTGTAAAAGGACACAGTCTTTGTGGAGAAACGGTTTGTGGTAAGTTACGAAGACGATAAGAAGGCAGAAACAGTGCCTTTTAAAAAAAAATCTTGCTTCCCCCTGGAGAACAGAAATCTTGCTGGCCCTTGAAAATTTCTCAAGACGTCCTGCCAATCCAGGACACCCCGAATGAACAACGGTAGAGTGAATATTCTTTGCTGAAGAATTGGTGTAGAATTGGTTCAGAGACAGTCCTTTCCCCAGTGAACCCCACTGAACGCCCACCCGGTCATGATGCCAAATCCAAGGTTTTTGGTCCTTTCCCGCTGAACGCCCGCCCGGTCATGATGCCAAATCCAAGGTTTTTTGGGGCGCGTTCACTGCTTTCCAACTTTGGATCTCAGCTTTGTAACGGACCTGTTTTGCAATGGCATATCAAACTTGCCTGACTCAGAAGGAGAGGAGTCAAATGAGGAAAGGCGATCTCGCTTCCCCTTTTCAGCAGGAAGCTGTGTGACCGTCACATGAGCAGATGAGGGCACTGGAGTGCATATGATGCGGCAGAAGATCAAGGCAGGCGGAAGGCAGAAGAGAGGCCAGCTTTTTCTAAGAAGGCCTGGTTTGAATCCAGCGGGAGGCAGAGAGAGGGTCCGGGGCCTGTATGAAGAGTTGGCTGAGACGTGGCAGCCCGTGAATGGTGGCGGCTCGGTGGGAGGGGGGTCGAGTGCTCTGCCACCTATTCCCAGGACTTGGGTATTTGCCTTAGGAGAGAACCAGGCAGCTGTGGAAGGGACCCCACGGGGTCATCCAGTCCAGCCCTTCTGCTAAAGAAGAACATCAAGAGCTAAAGTTTCTCCCAAGAAGTGGCCATCTCACCTCGGGAAGCCTTGTGGTGCAGGGGTTGAACTGCAGTTTTTCTTTTCTTTTTTTTTTTAAATCCTTATTTTCTCTGTAGAACAGCAGATCAAAACAGTGAGCCATGCTTGAAATTTTCCTCCATGGGGTGGGGGCAGGGGCTCATCTCCGTGTGTCTGCTTCTTAATGATTTTTAAGGGTGCAGAGGTTACTGCTTCTGCACACACACACCTCTCTCTCTCTCCATCATCACCATCATCTTGGAACTGCAGAGCTAGAAGGGAGCCTATGGATCAGCGCATCCTGCCCTGAAGGAGGGTTGGATGAGGACCTGAAACCCAGCAACCGTCCTCCTGACAGAATTGCCTTTCTGCCATTGTGCCGGAGCTGCCTTCATGCTATTGCCATGCACCGTATATAACACACAGCACAAAAATTAGCTTACTAAGAATGTTATCTTTCAGATTGGGGGGAGGAAGATTCTCATCCTTGTGACTGTGGTTGCCATGTTACATTTGCAATTGTGTGAGCAATGCCTGTTGCGGTGTCAGGAGCCAAAATGAATGACTGCGTAAGAATTGGAAGTCACCGGGTTGAGAGATCTCCTTGTTCGTGATATCTCTCCCAGTGAGTCATGTCGGTAGAGCATGGCAGAGAATAAGAGAATTCGTCCTCATCTGAACATATTTTTTTGTATAGCTTGAAGGGTTTAAATGACCATGGTGTAGAAATCATTAGAGCCCAGGTACATGGAGGCTTGTAGGTTTTGTGCAATGTGTATCCCCATTGGGTTTGGGCCATCTGACATTTGACTGGGTGGGACCTTTGCAACTTTTTATTTTTTGCAGCTGCTCTCTTAACACCTGTCCTGTTTCCATCTTCCAGATGTTCCTGTGTCAACCACCCTCCCCAATGGTAGATCTACTAGTTGTTTGGAGAAGGACCTTGACCTGTTTAGTTCTATGGAATCCGAAAGGAAGGTGAGCGTTTGTGTCGGACAAATGCTCTCGAGTCTCTGGGCTTCTGGTCTTCCCCTTTGTTTCCATGTCTCTGGTTGAAATCTCCGCGGTGGAACCAGGGAGTGGCTTTATTTCTCTTTCTGTCCCTTAAGGATGCCTTTTTGGGGCGGTTGTAAGGATTGGAAATCGGCGTTTGTATTCTCAAGAGAGCCTTTTGGGCAGAGGGTCCAGTGGGAGACAAAGGGGCCGTGTCACTGATCTTTATGTGAAATGTTCTGAGCATTTTGAGAAGGGGGGGAGAAACCCCACAGTTTTGCGGTTTTCTATCCTTCTCTAGCCTTCGGTGATAAGCACGGTGCCTTTCTCTTCCCAGGTGGTTGGCTCCATGCCCACAGCCGGAAGCGCTGGGTCCGTTCCTGAAAACCTGAACCTTTTCCCTGAGCCTGGAGGCAAGGCGGATGACGCGGGGAAGAAACAGCTCTCTAAAGATTCGATCCTCTCCTTATATGGCTCCCAGACCCCGCAGCTGCCTGCACAAGGTACCCCACGGAGATCAGAAAAGTGATGGGAGAAGGCTTCTCTTGCTTAGTCATAGCTAAGGTGACTTAGTAGTCTTTGCTGCCACCCAACCATCTTCAGAGAAAGAGAGAGAGAGAGAGAGAATGAGAGAGAGAGAGAGAGAGAGAAGCATTTAGGGATTCATTGAACCAGCAGAGAATGTGTTTGCAGTGAGCTAATAATCTGGCTAGACCAAAAGAGTGTCTCTCTTCACCCTAATCCAGATGGGGACTCATTAGCTGCCAGTGAGAGGCTGCTGCGCGTTACGCTCTGTGCTTTCCACAGGTGTAACAGCGCAATAGCATTTGGGCCAAAGTCTCTTCCATGTTCTAGGTCAAGGGTTCCCAACCGTGGGCGTTCTCAGACTGCAGCTCCCAGAAGCCCTGGCTCTGCACAGCTGGGGGTGAAGGCTTCTGAGAATTGCAGTCCAAGAACACCTCGGTTCCCCCAAGGTTGGGGACCCCTGCCCTAGATCACGTGCTGATGCCGCTTTCGGTAAGACTGGATTAAGTACGGAGTGGGAGTGGGAGTTGGGAGTGGAGAGGAACTCTTTGAAGAAAGAATGTCTTCATTCTGTTCCTCCCGAAATACTTCAGAGAGCCCTGTATCTGAATTGAGACTGCAGTTCACCAGAAGGGCTTTTCCTATCTCTCTCTCTC